TGATGGAGACAAATGTTGTAGTGTAGTAAAAATGAATGACCTTGGCCAGAACAATGTAATAACTGTGTGTGTGTGTGTGTGTGTGAGAGAGAGAGAGAGAGAGAGAGAGAGAGAAAAATAAGAGTAAGTTGGCTAAAGTCTCCATACAGGAAAGAGGTTATAGGGAAAGAGGGAGGAAGGGAGAGGACAGAGAGAGAGAGAGAGAGAGAGAGAGAGAGAGAGAGAGAGAGAGAGAGAGCAATCATTAACGTGGACTAAGGCTGGATGTAACAGTAAATTCACATAACACTCACACACACCTCCCTACAACTCCCTTCCTGTGTGGAGACTTTTGCTCATTCACTCTTCTCCCCTTCATTCCTGGCATCTCCCCCTCCCTCACCCATGCCCATCATTCCTCAGCTGTGACTCAGCTCCCCACATGGGTCTTAAAGATACACATCACTTTATTTAAATCACTATGGTTGACAGTTTCACAACAAAACACATTCACAGTCATGCAGTTAGAATCTTCTGACAGATGATATCAGTGCGAAAACGGCATTCGGTAGCTTTTACAGTAGCACTAGAGCCTGAAGGTGTCAGTTAGAGAAGCAATACACATCCATTCCCTAACATATTAATCTGAAATGAAAAGGCCAATCCTCCCTACAGATTCTTTGGATATTATCAAGGGGAGCGTTGTGGCAACTCATCTAAAAATCTTCCAAAACATTTTTGGGTAGAGGGATCTAGGGCAGTTTATGTGTTGTATTCTTTCATGTTTTGCCAAAGGCCTGTGTTTGAACTGCCTTCTCACATGGCATATCACATGGCACATAGTAGTCATGATGTTCCTAGTGTCTGATGAGGATTTAAGCTTATTTCACAGCAGTGGCTCTGTTTGCCCAGGCCCACGCTGGAGAAGTTTTAGCAGTGAACATGCACGATCTGACTTACAATTAATGGAAAAAAGCTCTTTGAGCCCATTCATTTTATATCGCCCAGCCTAATGCTAATGCTAATTTATGCAACATGCCAGTAAATGACTATATTATGTTTTTAACTCACCACTATCAGAAGTCTTTTGTTTTCTCTAATGGTTGCACAGCAGCCAAGAATTCCAGTGAGCATGACAACCACGCCTGCTGCGATAAGGATGTAGGCAGCAAAAGAATATGCACTGGAAGACAGCAGACTAATGTAGTCACTCTTATCCACTAGAGTCCAGAGTCCCACTGCCATCACAGCACCCCCAGACAACTGGAAGAGAAAAAGAGGTTTAAAGCAGATAGAATTCTTATACTGCAGTTAACATTCATTTATTTATCTTCAGTAACTGCTTTATCCCTTCTCAGGGAACACCGGACATAAGACGGGAACACACCCTGAATGGGATGCCAGGGATGTACCAGGCAATTTCAACCAGACCATAAAACTCTCTCACATGTTCAGAAATATTTTTTTAACAAACTGACTATAATTTGAGTCATAAAATAAAAATAAAAATGACTGACCCATAAAAGCAGATTAAAGGTGAACAGCAGGTATTTAAGGCATACGGTTCCACAAGAGTTTGTCTTTTCCTCGTGAGCCACCATCCTGGGAGAACACAATCAAAACACAAAACACATATGTTGAACATCCATGAGATCTGAAAACACTTAACCAGTGCTGAGACAAGAACTACACACATTTTCAATCGTCCTTTCCAAATGCCTATCCTATCCTACATTAAGAAAAAGATTCTATATAGCACTCTTAAGAATACTTTGGTTTGTCCCTCTTGAGAGCCCTTAACAATAGAATCCTACAACAGATAATTTCCATTACAGAAAGGTTTCAAGTAGAACCAAGGAAAGCTAGAACCATTAAACACCCTAAGAGTCCGTAAGGATACTGCCTTAAGAAGTGAAACCTGTAAGAAAAAAATATTTACCATGAAAGAAGATCTATGTATACAGAAAACGACCATGAAAGGCATGCAGACGGTGCGAGACCATATAATGAGAGAACATGGTGTGAATATCACTTCAGCTACTAGAGGTCACAAATATCACGGATATCATGTTGTCTTAAAAACAGTGAATCCCATTTGAAAAACATCCCATTTAGTATTTTTGTTCCACTGTGATGTTCAAGTGGAAACATACACTAAATGTATGTGGCTAAAAGTATGTGGACATTTGGCCATTCACAACTATATGTTGTTTTTGAACATCCCATTCCAGATTTATTCCCCCTTTACTGTTATAGTAACCTCCACTCTTCTGGGAAGGCTTTCTACTAGATTTTGGAGCGTGGCTGTGGGGATTTGTGTTCATTCAGCCACAAGAGCATTAGTGAGGTCAGGCACTGATGTCGAGCGAGGAGATCTGGGGTGCAGTCAGCATTCCAGTTCATCCGAAAGGTGTTCAGTGGGGTTGAGGTCAGGGTTCTGTGCAGGACACTCAAGTTCTTACACTCCAAACCTTGCTAAACCATGTCTTCATGGAGCTCGCTTTGTGCACAGGGGCATTGTCATGCTGGAACATGTTTAGGCCTCTTAGTTCCAGTGAAGGGAACTCTTTGTAGCAACAGTTTTGGGAAGACCCACATACTTATATAGTGTATTGTGAACACATAATGTATATACACAAGTGATGAATATGATCCATCCAAAATACAGTCAAATATAGTTTATCAGAACAGATATGAAACAGTCATGCTCTGTCATACCTCTCTGGCTATTGGCTTCCTGACAGCAGAATGTGTGTGTGAGAAAGAGTCGGATGTTTACTACCCTGTGGCCCCTATCTGGCACTCAGAGACACAGCTGTCACTGTCTGAGTAACACTATCCTGCAGTGAGAAATGAGGTAAGTCCTATAACAGTCCCCATAGAGACTAGACCACAGTGACTCACATCACAATTTGACACCCACACTTATCCTGGTTTAATCCACCATGGACACTCATTCTGAGTTTATTCTGAGTTTGTTACTTATTCTGATTGCTATAGTGTAACCTACAATCGTACTTTAGCAGAAACAAAACAGTATGAAATCATACTGATCATCTCCTGAACTTCAGGGATGAAATTAAATCTAATTCACAGTTTAGATTACTTAAATAGCTTGATTCTAGAAGTGATACAATGGTGAGAACTTTTACAATAAACTTGGTAGAAGTGCATATATGTGGCTTTGATTAATACAGCCAAAAAACTATTACTGTCCATATATTTCTCATGCAGGCTCAACATAATGATGCTTGAGAACAAATAGTTTGCTATTGCCATGAGAAGCATAATTAAACATTAAACTTTCACCAGCCTGTATAGTCTAATATATGACCATAATATTATTATTATATAATAATAATAATATATGACCATAATATTATATAATAATAATAATAATAATAATAATAATAATAATAATAATAATAATAAAATATGGCCATAATAATAACTGAAGGGTAATCCTTGTTTAATGCCTAATCCATGTAAAAATGGACATTACGCCACTACATAACATTAGTATTCACAGCAAGTGTGATTTATTACATCAAGCACTGCAATAAAGTCAAACCCCCGGTCAGATATCTTTTTAGGGGCTTGAGAGTGTATGCCCCGGGTTAGTCTAAGCATTTCTTTCTCTCTCTCTCTCTCTCTCTCTCTCACACACACACACAGTATCTCTCTCTCTCTCTCTCTCTCTCACACACACACACACACACAGTATCTCTC